GTGGGGCAAAGGGAGACGGTGCAAAGAGCTGACAAAGCCCAGTTTAACGTTGGCATTTACCCCGGTGGAGAGCCACTCATCTCTGATTCATTCACACGTGAGCCCTGGACACAGCAGTCATGGCCTTCCTGACACGTCAGGGTGAGAAATGCCTGAATTAGGGACAAGAAATTCTCGTTCCACAGAGCTCTCCTCTCCCCTGGCACTTTGGCTGTTGGCACTCAGGTGTCACAAGAGCGATTGCTGGCTCCTGGCGCTGCCCTCCGTGCGTCACCGTGTTAATTCTTGCATTGTTTTACTGTGACCTTGATGTAACGTCCACCCCTGGCTTGGTTGCTGATGGATTAAATGGATCTCCAGTAGTTGAGGTGCAAAATAGCACTTTCCCCAGTTGTACCCTGAAGATTGGCAGAATTCTCGGTCCGTTCCAGATGACTCCTGTGTTCAAATCGTTAGAGATTAAATAATACAGTGTGTGTGTGTGTCCAGAGTCTCTCTTCACGGGATAGTTAAGCACGTGCCTGTCGTTCCCACGAATGAGCTCGGGAAAGCCGCATCCCTCCGTGCTGAAGTTACTGGGAGGATCTGGCTTTGAGTGATCCGTTGCGGGAACTCCTCGTGTTTGCCTCTCATGTGATCCCTTTCATTTGCTTTTCCAGTTTGCAAGATATTAAAAAAAAAAAAAAAAACAAACAAAAAACCCACGGAATAAACCTCCACGGAAAGCAAAAGAAAATGAGTTTTGTATTCTGTAGAAGCACCGCTGGAAAATGAATGACTGTTTCAGAATCCTATGGGGTCCCCAGCATTCTCTTTTGTTGTGAACATTTGAGAAGTGAGTGAAAAAAAAAAAATAAATATTTCGACAGCCTGTTTAATGTGGCGTGTAGTGCTGGCTCCAAAAAAAGGGGACAATGGGGACAGCAGCACTAGTGGGTGGTGGGTGGAGGGGGAATTCCTTTCGGCTCTGTCCAGCCACGTACATTTTTTGGGATTGTACTTTTGCCTGAAAAATATTCATGCTCCTCCTGCAGTTTCTTCTCCTTTTTCAGGGCGCTACAGGTGGAGATAAATGGTATTTAGGGGAAGGAGAGCACAGACCGTGGTGAGAGTAACTGCAGAGAGAAGAAACATTCTCTTTGACTCGTGAAAAATGGGAACGTCCAGAAAATTCCCCCGTAACCACCAGCTTTTCCCTGTGTTTTTCCGCAGCCTGCAGCGTTCTGCTGTCTCTGTAAAAGCAGATAAACGGGAGGAAATTGTCTGAATTGAAAGGAAGCCGGTTTTCCGCTGGCGCTTTCGATCATTTAGAAATCGCTCTTGCTTTCGTTCCCGTTGTTGGATTGGGGATCAGTGGAAACTTTCACAGTGGAAAATCCCGAGGCTTGGCAGGAGCAGAAGATGCAGTTTGGGAGGCTGGTTTGTTGCAGGGTTCACTTTTTAAATTTTTGCAAATCCGACCCGGGACGGGTTTTGTACGCACCGAACAAAACCCTCGGTGACTTGTAGGTTCCAGGAGCATTGGGATTGTTGGAAAAAGATATTTCCTGTATTGCTGAAACTTGTAGTTTTGCTTTGAATACGGATCCTGCGCACGCAGAGCTCGGCTGCGGGTCTTTGCCCGTGCTTAAGCCAGCAAAGCTTTGCCTTTTTTTTCCGCCTGCCCTGGTCCGGGTGGGAAGTGGGTGGGAGATGATACCGAAGCCAATTAAAAATATTGATGCTTATTGCGACTGGAGGTCGCTTTCTCTGCAACCAAGACACCCTCTGGAAAAATAGAAGCACTGAGGTGAAGCCCAGAGTGACTTTTAAACTGAGCTCACGGTCGGGGAGCTCTGAGAGGTGGTGGTGGTGGTGGGAGAGATCCCATTGGTAACACCAGTAGCCCAGTAAATACCGCACTGGGGCTGTTCTGAGTGAACCTCCTCGGTTTTCCTGTCTCCGCAGCGCAGGGCTGAGCGGTTGCAGTAGGACAAAGCCACGTGCTGTATGAAATTCAACCAGACCAAGCGCCGGGTCCTGCACTGGGGCCACAACCACCCCCCTGCAGCGTTCCAGGCTTGGAGAAGTGTGGCTGGAAAGCTGCACAGCAGAGAAGGCCCGGGGGGTGCTGGTCGGCAGCCGGTTGACCATGAGCCAGCAGTGTGCCCAAGCAGCCAAGAAAGCCAACGGAATGCTGGCACGGATCAGAAACACAGCTTTGTGTTGATTTTTCTCCACCTCCTTGACTTCAGCACCGACGTTTCTCCTCCCTTCCGCTACTGCCTTTTATCTTGGGTGTGGAAGGGCCCCGGGAGGAGAGATCTTGGGAGGTGTCTGGCAATCAGCCGTTCACCAGTTTGAACTGGTGCTCAACCCTCCTGAAAAATCTAAGACCTTAGATCTTCAGGCAAGGTCAAAAAAAAAACAAAAATAGTTGACGGGTTGTCGTTTCCAAGAAAACTTGGCCCTGGTGTGTTCTAACGCCCGTCTCCGAGCCCGGCGTTCCGCTCACAACCCGAAACTGCCGTGTGTGTTGCCCAGACGTGCCTCCCGTGGCTGTATCCTCTGCCCTGGTCCATCCGGTAACGCTGCGCCCTCGGCACCGTGTCCGTGAGGCATCCCGATCCTGCGGGATAGTGCCGGGGTGTTTGCTCCGAGCTTTGCTGTTGGATGCTTGGCCGGTTTGGGCCAAGCTTTCCCGGTCTGGCAGGGTGACCTCACACCACGTGCTGCCGTTTCCCGAAAGGAAAATGTGTGTGTGAGTTCTTGGGAGCCCACGCTCCGTGTCCTGCGTCAGCCTCATCTTCTTCATGTCTTGTTCCGTGTCCGTTTCCCTAAGCATTTGTGAAAATCCTGGGATACGTCCTTCTTCAGCTGTGGGTGCTCGGGCTCCTCGGAGCAGCCTGTGTCCATCCACCTCTTCCTGGGACATCCCCAGGGCCAGCCCCAAGCCTTGGCTTTTTCCCATGGCTCACGGAAGCAGCTCCTCATCCCAAATATTTCCCCCATCCCTTCTCTGTGCTCCAAGGAGGTGGGGGGTGGGATGCTTTAGCCACAGTTTTTGCTTTTCCTCCGTGACCGCTGGCTCCCCAG